CGCGCGCGCTCACCAAGACCGCTCGCACGGCGGCGACGAGGCAGGGTACAGACATGGCGTTTCCTATCATTCGACCGGCCTTTGCAGCAGAAATGTCATGCCACGGGATATCATCAGCAGCAAAACCCTGGAGCTTCTGCATCTCCAGCACCGAGAGGAATCGCTTGCCCTGCCAGTTTTTCCACAAGACACAGAATGAGGCGCTGCCTAACGACTTAAATCAACAAATATAAACATTGATTCTCAACACATATTTTCTCCGCAGCCTGGAGCCAGTAGTATCCTTGAGAGGCACACCGTGAGCTGGTGAGGGTGGGCGCCTCGCCCATGGTTGCGTGGGAGAACTTGCGGCTGGCCCCAGCGTCCACAATCACCGGTTGGTCGGGATTGGGAAACTTCACTTTGGCCCGCTTGATGCTTCTGCGCGCTGTTTCGCTAAGCTCCCGCCGTGTGTTTGCTGGAGGAACAGTCGACAGGAACTTGCGCAGCGGTTTTGGAGGACCCTTAGGGGACTTGATCTTCAAGGGTGGCATCGTCTTGGACCGTGCCTTGAGAACACCGAGGAAGTACAGGCGCACACGGGCCTGGGGAAGTCCGAACTTCCGACCTGAAAGCCAGGAGCATGTGTATTCAGCCACCCCTGAAGTTCGATGTTAAGCGAACTAAAGGGTTGACATCGTCCAAGAAACTGTCCATCTTGTACACCCTCACATGGTACTTTTTGCGCAGCTCAGACAGCAGGTTCTTGTAGTGATTCTTCGTGCCTGGGGGCCACACATTAAAATTTAATTTTGACAAAATAGATTTAAACAGATGTTACGTGTGAGTAGACTCATACACTCACGCCAGGGAACGTTTGCTCCGGAGACCGGGCACATTCTCCAAGACGAAACAGCGGGGTAGCTTCCGAAGGATGTAGCTCTTGACCAGTCCGGCGCAGTCCCGTTTGTCAGCTGCACCTTTCCGCTTCGTTGACGCCGCACCTTTTCCGCTAGCTTAGCATTACTTAGTTATTTTATAAATCAAATTAAAAACCTTGGGAGGATGTCCAATGAGACCGAGACTCTGTACGGTTGGCATGGAAAGCCGCACAGGTAAAGGTCCACGCTGTCGCTCTTGGCCGGAGACATTTTCTCGTACAGGTTGACCGGGCGCACCATTCGCTCCAAGAGCTCACGGCAGTCTGTGTCTGTCTCAGACACGAAAGTATGCTTGAAGCGCACACCGAGTCGCTTCAAGGCCACGACATCTGTTCCCATCCCTGCGCAATCAGACCCGACCGTGAGGGGCCGATCAATGCACATTACGAGGGACATGGTCCCGATGCACAACAGACGACTGCGAGACGTGGAACAGGCGACAGCGTGCATTTCTGTGCCCTGAAGCCTGAAGCTGACAAGGCCGCGATGAAACATGCTGCTTGCTTACAGCAACTGGAGAATGCAAGGACCAAGAGACGACGACTAGCTCAGAGTGCTCAAGCAATAATTTTGCCAGGATTTCGCTGCATGTCGTGACGAAGTCCGTGCAGCCTGCCCCTCAAGTGTCCTCGGCGATCAGCTCTGCCGCGGTCTTGTCAAGCTCCGCCACGATCTTTCCACGGCATTCAGGGCATCCAATCGCTTTGTTGTCACGGCACTTAGTACAGCCGAGACCCTGGCCCCTCTTCTTCAGCGCAGCGACAAGCTTCTGGTTGTCTGCGCGGCTCAAGCCTAGACAGCCCTTGGCCCTGGCCTTGGCTTTGCCCTTGGCCTTGGCTTTGCCCTTGGCCTTGGCTTTGCCCTTGGCCGTGGCCTTAGCGCCGTTATTGGCTTTTGCCTTGTTCTTGGCCTTGGCCGTCGTGCGCTCCGTCGTCGTCTTCTCTTTGAGCCTGTCTGTGCTTTTCTCGGCCTGCTCGTTTGCCCCTTCGTCATCTTCATCCCGCTTACATCGCCGAACTCCAGCCGGTCGCTTCATCATCAGGTGCTCTCCCAATTGAAGCGTGGTTGCCTGGCTATCATCATCATCATCATCTGGCTGCTCGCCCGAAGCCTCCTCGTCCGCACCAGGGGGCTGTGGCCACCAGTCATCAGCTGAGCCACGGCCACCAGTAGCCATGAACGGAACAGGCGACACCTCCAACTGAA